AGAATCAAAGGTTGATACCAAAGACAAGAACCCATGTTTTTACTCAATATTGTTATGTGAAGCTGTATATGAACATGAAAACCAGACCTTGGCCATTTAGACTTCGACAATACTAACTACTGATACAAAAAAATACGACATGAAAAATTAACTCGTCAACCGGATGAAGAGCATTACTAGATTAATCCACGGCTTAAATTGAAAAACCAGCAGGCACCAGTGGCGGCGCTGAACGGATCAAAGAAGCTAAAGGATCAATAATGGAAGACACGAAGACGGTGGTGAACAAGGTCGACGAAGCTCGCTGATGTAAAAGAAACAATTGCAGAGGACACTCAAATCTGTATACGAGACATTAAACCCCTATTATAAATACCCTATTATAAAAATAGTGGTCGAACTATCCACAGGTACATGATATAATTAATTAACCTAGGGAGTAACAGGAGAATCAAGCACAAACTACTTCTGACTATGAATTCAACTATTGTTAGTGTGGACTGCAAAGGGGTTCAAAAGTAACAATTACACAGTTGAATGGTAGGTTGGATCTTCGCCGACGTTGGTGTCACCCTCTCAAGAACGGTAAGTACTCATGCTAAAACAGTAGAAGATGATCTTTGCAGTACTGATTCCAGCAAAAAGAAACAAGACATTGATATCACTAGGAAACATGTTTCTATACAGATCCTTGTATATGGTTTTTAAGGAAACCTAGAAGCATTTCCACCTCATCAGGTGCAAGTGGAGCAACTTTATTCCTTCCAACCCATACTAGATTCCATTTTCAGCACTCATCAAGAACATACTTCTGAACGCTCGAAGTTGGCTCATTGTCATAAGCTTCAAAAGCCTTACAGATCCTTTCTGTCAATTTGGCACTTCCTGTACATGTTTATAAACAATTCGACTTTGTTCTTGGATCCCACGAAAGCCATCATTTCTTTGTCAATGGAAAAGCATCAGCACATGGAGGAAGCAGAATAAGAGAAACTCTGTTCTTAATTGATAAAATTATGAATATAGCCTTTTCAGTATAGTAGCATGGAAATGCTTCGAATTTACAAATTTTGGCTCTACATCAAATGAGCACTGTGATATCTTAGTCCAAGCATTAATTGAAAGAGACTAATAGCATCTTCTGGAAGTGTTCTTTGAGTTATCTGATCTGGTTAGACAGAATAGCATCTTCTGGAAGTGTTCTTTGAGTTATCTGACCTGGTTTGACAGAATAGCATCTTCTGGAAGTTGTTCTTTGAGTTATCTGATCTGGTTTGGCAGAACCAATCATTGAATTTGGAAGATGAATTTGCTAATAGCATCTTCTGGAAGTGTTCTTTGAGTTATCTGATCTGTTTTGATAAGAACTACAGAACCAATAATTAGAATTAAAAGATGAACTGCATGATCTTCTTCATTAAGAAGTTTCTTTTCAAGCTTCTTTTGCTTATTCCTTTCCCAAAAATCATAGCACAAGTTTCGCCTTTGCTTGTAACTGGGATCATCACATAATGGCTTCCCATCTTTTACCGGAAGAAAGCTATTTGAAGTTTCAGCTTCTGAGAATCACATTTTTTGTCAAGTATAACAGTTTATTCTCCTCATCAGAATCAGAATTCAAGATTTCTCGGTATTAGAAGAACTATCGATATCTGTGAAATCATCCTGAAAGGTTACTTCATAATCAGATGAGTTGTTATCAGAATCAACATGTTGCCTGAATGCAAGCTTTTCAAGAGCCTATACTATTGAATTTTATTCTCAAGAGATTTTTGTGACATTATATCTACATTTGTCAAAGATGATAGATTTCTTTCATTTGAAGAAGAAAAATCTATTGGGTTTTTACAATTGAAGAAATACTCAATTCACCAATCTGAAATCAAATAACTCAACATTCATGCATCATATTTTAAGTGTTTACAAAAATAGGTGCATTTTCATTCATTTTCATCTATGTTGAATTTTTAACAGGAATTTCAAAGATTTTAGCAAAGATTTGAATCCATCACTTGATGGATCATTCTTTTCCAGAGGAAGAGTTCATAATGAGAAGAACTTATCTGAAGAGGAAGAGAGAAAGTTCATAATGAGAAGAACTCATCTGAAGAAGGAAGAAGAAGTTCATAATGAGAAGAATTTGTTCAACCTTTTGCTTGAATTCATCACTTGATGGATCATCATTTCCAGAGGAAGAGTTCATAATGAGAAGAACTCGTCATCTGAAGAAGGAAGAAGAAGTTCATAATGAGAAGAATTTGTTCAACCTTTTGCTTGAATTCATCACTTGATGGATCATCATTTCCAGAGGAAGAGTTCATAATGAGAAGAACTCGTCATCTGAAGAAGGAAGAAGAAGTTCATAATGAGAAGAACTGTTCAACCTTTTGCTTGAATTCATCACTTGATGGATCATCATTTCCAGAGGAAGAGTTCATAATGAGAAGAACTCGTCATCGAAGAAGGAAGAAGAAGTTCATAATGAGAAGAACTTGTTCAACCTTTTGCTTGAATTCATCACTTGATGGATCATCATTTCCAGAGGAAGAGTTCATAATGAGAAGAACTCGTCATCTGAAGAAGGAAGAAGAAGTTCATAATGAGAAGAACTTGTTCAACCTTTTGCTTGAATTCATCATTTGATGGAACATCATCCCCAGCAGAAAGTTCGTAATGAGAAGAACTCATCTGGAGAAAAAGAAGAATTTATTCAATATCTCCAAAATGATCAAAGTAAGTCAAATGGATAAAAATTTTATTATCTTTTCATCTTTGCCCTATTCTTGTTAACACAAGAATGAGCAAAGAGGGGCAGCTGAAGATACTATTTTTTATCCATATTATTATTATTATTATTAATATTATTATTATTATTATTATTATTATTTTTATTATTATTATTATTATTATTATTTTATTATTAAATATATTAAATACATATAAATTACAAACCAATTACAATTCAACCGGCCCAGTTACAAACCAACTGAAACCGGTCCAAAACTAACTAGAAACCCTAAATGTTTAGGTTTCCAGTTAGGGTTTCCTAACCCTAATTAATCAGCCGCCTCATCACAGTCGTTGGATCTGGCACGATCCAACGGTCCACATGGCTCCAGAGAGGAACCCTAGGGTTTGATACCCTAGGGCCACGCGGCGCCGCTCCAGCTTCCACGCGGCTACCGACAGCCCTCGCCGCCTCCGCCGCTGCCACGTCCCAACCGAAGGCTCCAGAAGACAGAATACCAGCCGTCCACGCCATGGCTACTCGGTGAGTCACCACTGGTAGTCCGGTGACTCACGAGGCCCCCTCTTCGGACCGGTCCGACGGCTACAACGGTGGTGGCTATAAAAGCCACCACCCCACCTGCAAGAAAAAAAAAGGAGACAGAGACGGAGACAGAGACAGAACCGGAGAGAAAGAAAAAAAAAAGACAAAGAAAAGAAAAACAAACAAACTATACCAACGATCTCAGCAGCAAAGAACCAGAAGAAAAAAAAAAGAAAAAGGAAGAAGAGGCTTACCAAGGAAACCTTGACCGTCGCCGGAAACACTGAACATCGCCGGAGAACCAAAAATACCGAAGGTACTTTTGTAGATTTGCTCCGATTGGGAGCCTTTTAGGAAGAAATAACACCGGAACCGTCCTTAGGACGGTCCGATCTATATATTAGTGTAAAGAAAATTTTTCCGGCCACCGGATGCGGTGGCCGGCGGTGATGGTCACGGCGGCAGACGGTTGCCTTCCGATGACCGGCTTTCCTCCGGTGAGGGAAGCTAGAGAGAAGGCAGAGAGTTTTAAAACTCTCTCTGTTAGAGAGAGAGAAGGAAATGATGAATGAAATGGTTGGCCCTTCGGGCCAGCCGGTTTGGGACTCTTATAGTCCTTCCCGAACGACGTCGTTTCGGGAAGGACTATGCGTGTAATTAGGAAAAAGTTAAACCCCGTCCGCAGTCCCTCGTATTTGTAAACTTTACATTTTGGTCACTAAACTGAATTTATAATAATTTTAATTCAGTCTTTGAATTTTAAATTTATTCATTTTAGTCCTTTTTATTAAAATAATATATTTAGGATAAATAACAGATTTAATCCCTTAATTTTAATAAATAAAGTTTTCATCCCTAGTTCATATTTTTAATTAATTTTATTATAAAATTTGAATTTTAAATAAATTCATTTTAGTCACTAAGTTATTAAAATTAGAAAATAAAATATTTAATCCCTATAATTTCAATTAATTAGGAATTAGATTTAATTTTATTCATAATTTAGTTATTTTATATGTTTTCATTTTATTGCTTAAAATATATTATTTTAGTGATATTTTTATTTTAGTATACTGTTAAATATTTTTATATATACATATAATAAATATTTTTAATATCGAAGAAAAGGACAGTCTTAATACAACTGGATGTCCTATTCTGATATTTTATAATTAAAAAGTAAACAATATTATTTAAATCAATATTTATCAATATCAAAGAAAAGAGCTGTCTTAAGGCACCTAGAAGTTCTTTTCGGATATTTTTAAATAAATAAATATTTTTTAATTTTGAAAATAATAGAATTATAATTTTTTTTAAATAGAGACAATTTATAATTGCAAAGTACCAATTTTGGGCGTTGTAGGGGTGCTAATCCTTCCCTAAACGTAACCGACCACGAATCCCTTTTTATTACTAAAAAGAATGAATTTTGGTTAAACGCAGATCAGTTTATCTTTTAACTGATGTTTTCTTAAAAACTCTTTTAAAGGATGATTTTTAGGTATTCGACCTACTTGACCCAAAAGGCCGATGGCGACTCTCAAATTATTTTCAAAATTATTTATTCACATCAATTTCCCCGCCAAATTTAATATTTCGTGCCCGGACGAAAACCGGTTACGACAGGTGTATTTTCCTCCTAAATTCTCTTCGAATTTTAATTTCCCCCTTTTAATTTTGCTTTTTCTCGTCAATTGTAAGCTTGTTTTTCTTCCATGTAGGAAAGGGCAAATAAAAGCTGGGTGGAACGGAGTGTAGAGTCTTTAGAATTAGTAGTTGAAAATTCCGACAGTGAGGAGGAAAGAGTGAAGAGTTTCAAGCAAAAGAAAGCCAGCTCCGCTCACTTGAAGAAGTTACAACAGGTTGTTACTTGTTTTGAGGAATCACTGTAATCTTTGTTACTCAGACTCGGGTGTGTATGTCGCACACAGTTTATGTTTAATTTTTCGAAGTTTTCCCATGTGTTTGGGGGGTCATATCCCCAAACTCATATATGAACATATGTGAAATATAAGTGTCAAAAACGAATAGTTAAACCCTGAATTCTGCCTTCACCCTTTTTATTGGTACAGGAGCTCAATGGATTGCTTTCACGACCACTCCGTCCGAAAACATTTTCACATCAGTATCCAACTGCAGTGGGTTCTTATCAGTTTCCTTGGACACTTGTTTTTCTGGTATGCATTTCTTATACAATTTTGAGAGCAACTTTCTGATCTCACAAGTTTTGCAGTGTTTTAATCTACATAGTTTAGTTAGTTCCGAATTGAAAGTTTCCGTAAAAGCGTCCTGGCAGAATTCAACTTTGCAGTGCATTTTCTCCTGAAATTTGATTTCATTAGACAACTTATAAGTTATGCTAATCTGTTTTATTAATTTTTTCCAGGTTGGTGTTACACATCTTATACAAAATCAATTTGAAGAATTGGCTAAGCACAATGGAGATGGCAACTTAGTTTCAGGTGATAACAAGAGACAGAAGATGTTGGTTATCGGTCAAGATTGCGTAGAACCACTACAGGCACTTCGGAGTGCTGGTCGCGAGGTAGTAAATTTAATGTTTCGGTTCACTTTTACTTGCCGAATTCCATTCTTTCCCCGATAACTTTCTCGTTTACGAATTCGCTTTTGTTTCCTACCAATGTGCAAATCAAATGCCTTACACGTGAAGTTCCATCAAATATAGATACAAAGGTTGAAGCCAACTAATTATGATGATAACTGATAACATGGCATATCGTCCGCTCTCCCTCTCTCTCTCTCTCTCTCTCTCACAGGTGCTCATGGATGGAAAAGAGATGGCTGAAAAACGAAGAAATCCCTAAAGTTTGAGAAGAAAAAGGAAAGAGGAGAAGAAACGTACGTATACTTGTAGATCGTTCCCCCCTTATTTTTAATTGCCGCCCGGCGGCCGCACTCGCTTTAAGAGAATGTTCTTAGCCTTTTTGTTATTTCATGTTCCAGGCTTGCGTGACCAGCGCAGAAAACAGAAGAAAAGATTCGAAGGAAGACAATGAATGTTCCTAGCTTCGCCTATTTTCCATGCCTCCAAGCTGTTGTTACTCGGGCTCGGATTTGAATCTCAGATTCGGGTATGTATTCGGCACAGTTACAACCAAAATTTATACATTTGTAGAATCATGCATCCGTATCGATGTCTGTCGAATACATCAAACATGGGATACGAACACTAATACAGTTGAACTTTTATGCGTATTTTCATGTATTTGGAGAATCAAAGGTTGATACCAAAGACAAGAACCCATGTTTTTACTCAATATTGTTATGTGAAGCTGTATATGAACATGAAAACCAGACCTTGGCCATTTAGACTTCGACAATACTAACTACTGATACAAAAAAATAGTTAAAATACGACATGAAAAATTAACTCGTCAACCGGATGAAGAGCATTACTAGATTAATCCACGGCTTAAATTGAAAAACCAGCAGACACCAGTGGCGGCGCTGAACGGATCAAAGAAGCTAAAGGATCAATAATGGAAGACACGAAGACGGTGGTGAACAAGGTCGACGAAGCTCGCTGATGTAAAAGAAACAATTGCAGAGGACACTCAAATCTGTATACGAGACATTAAACCCCTATTATAAATACCCTATTATAAAAATAGTGGTCGAACTATCCACAGGTACATGATATAATTAATTAACCTAGGGAGTAACAGGAGAATCAAGCACAAACTACTTCTGACTATGAATTCAACTATTGTTAGTGTGGACTGCAAAGGGGTTCAAAAGTGACAATTACACAGTTGAATGGTAGGTTGGATCTTCGCCGACGTTGGTGTCACCCTCTCAAGAACGGTAAGTACTCATGCTAAACGGACATTGAGGTCGGGCAAAGGCAGTATCCTGTGGTCACTTATCTTCCTCGGCAACAGTTTCAGAATTGCATGGCTGATGAGTGACCATAGCTATGTTGAGGTTGAGCTTGCATCAGGAACCAGGGGCACACCATGGCGTGTATCTTTGCATAACCGGTATAGATCGGTAATCACAATTCCGATAGATGAGGGATCGAAGCACAGCTGCAGATACGTTGAGTAATCCATGTTTTGTGAGTTGAAGACCCTGGAATGGTTGCCCCTTCACTTTCGGTTGATTATTGGCATGGGGCCGCCCGGTGTTTTATCTTAAAGTTACTTATATGAAACCTTTTGCAATTTAAGAACAAAAATATCTTTTCCATTGCAGATTGTATTCATTAAAAAAATGAATCAAGCAAAAAGAAAATGCAGAGGAAATTGAACTTATATACGAACAAAGTAAAATCAAAAGAATCAGTATTCATATTAATAGTAAGTTGTTGCTTCAAGTACAAGAAATTATATTTCATGCCAAAAAATAGTTGCAGACTATCTAGGATTCAAACATGGCTGGGTCTGGGATGACCCAACAAGGTGGCGGCTGAATCTTGTCCGATGAAAATTCAAAAACTGGCTTCAAGCTTCCATCTTTCAAGTCATATATACCCATATCATGCCCTCCATACAAGTAATCTTCTTCCATTCTCTCCCAACAATCATCACTGAAATAAATGCAATCCTTTTCACAGTTCAGAAAACACCGAGCCAATACCGAAACCGACTGATTTCCACCCAAGAACAGAGCGCGATCATCTAAAGTATCCATCTCCACCCACTCGAGCTCCTTGAAATCCATCTTGTAAACATGGAACAAGAATGTCCTGTAAGGACAAACCTTGGGGTGATTGCTGTCTTCTATCAAAAGATCATGTTCATGAAGCAATGTCCCATCCCAATCCACATAATTCCCAATGAACCTCACCACAAACAAAAGATCCCCACACGATTCAACCAAGTAAAACCTGCAGGTGCAAACATCTCTCAATGAATTTTCTTTGGAAAGTGACTTGTCGGGAAAAGGAAAAACAATGTCGGACGTTTTCTTGACATGGCCGCTTCCGACATGTAATTCCCAGACTTCGATACTGTTTTTGTCGCTCAAAGCATAGAGATAGTTTCGATGACATAAAATATCTTGATACGGTGGATGACTAACGTCTAGAACAGTCCAATAATCGCTTCCGCTTGCATTATATGCAATCTCCTCGCCATTATTACAAAGCAAAACCAGACCATAGTTTCCATTGTCATTGTTTTCTGGTTTTCTGGTTAGAATCGCTTTCTGAATTAAACATTCTCGTACTTGTTGTTTCCCACAAAACCTAAACAAAATCCTATGAGATCCTTTAAAGACATTGAAGTAATTAAGTTCGAATTCACCATCAACGTTTCTTACCATATTTTCCAACCCTAGCAGACGATCAACAGAAGGGAGTTCGATCCTCACTTGCTTGAAAGGGTTAAACAGAAACGGGACTGCCTTCTCTTGCAAGAAAACCAACCATCCATGTGACGAACCAATGCAGCAACATTCTCTAAACTCCTTCGGCGCCATCTTCAAGCTATAAAGACGATTTTCCATGAGATTCAAAAACCCATGGTAGCCATTGTTGTTAACGTTAATGCCATCGTCTTCCTCAACCTGTTTCTTGGAAGGAAGCATGAGCCATGGCATCTTTGAAGTAAGCTCGTCTCCAAGTAAGTTCCATGAACAACAAACGGATTTGGCTTGAACAAGATCATTGAAACTTAACCTGTTGAAGATTGACCTCAAGATATGCGCTGGAACTTCATCAACCCTTGATGTTAATGGCGATTCCTTTCTTCTTTTTGTCATGGTAGCTTGCACCGTCATTGAAAAGGAAAACAAAAACCGCAGGGTTTCCCCCCCCCCAAAATTGTGAAAGGTATTTATAAGTAAAGTAACTTGAGTTCCAAGAAACTTGAGATATATTCTTTTAGGCTTATATCACAAATAAGTATTCGAAGTATATTATTTTTTTTTTCATTTAAGAGCCTAAAATTATTATTTTGGTCAAAATAGGTTCATAAATTATACTATTTTTTCATTTAAGTAGCCAAATTATTCTGTAATTAATCCACGTGTCAATGTATGTTTAATAGTTCGTCTAACCGTTGAGGATTTAGAATCAATTTGAAGATGCAGAGGTGCACAAAAAATCCGAATATCCGATTTTGTGCAAAAAAATATCCGAAACCGGATTTGGGGAAAACCGGTTTTTTTTTAACCGGATCAAATTTTTTTAACCGGTTTTGGAACGGTTTTTTACCGGATAAAAAACCGGTTTGAAAAAAACCGGTTAAAAAACCGGTTTTTATCCGAAAAAAAACCGGTGTGGGTTTAAAAAACTAGCCGTTAATATAGCCGTTGGGGGGTTTTGTGACCGTTTTTTCTTTAAAAAATTACCATTTTATCACCCTAAACATGTATAAATAGGTTGGGGATGTATTTGGTTGATTACAACTTTCTCAAATCTTATTACACAACACCTAAACATCTCTCAAATCTTTTTTTTGTAATTTTTTGTTCATCATGAGTAACACGGCTGAATCTTCCGTCGGGGGAAACCTTGAAGTCGTGAGAGTGATCGAACACACTCGAAACAAAGATATTTGGGATCACTACGAATTATGTGAGATGTCAAATGGCTCGAGGAGGGCGCGTTGTAAACTTTGTCTAAAGTTGCTTGCACCTGAAGGAAACACAACGTTGAAGAACCATTTGACAAAATCATGCAAGGCACTTCGCTCAAGATCAGATCCAAGTCAATCGAATCTTACACCGCAAGGTGGTGTTTTTGTTTACGACAACGAAAAATTATGAGAAGCGTTTATAAAGTTCGTGATTACAAAAGCATTGCCATTCGACCACTTTGATGATGAAGATTTCACGGCAACAATTCAACAACTAATGCAACCACGTTATACTCAAGTAAGTCGTACTACCCTTAGAAGAGATGCTATAAAAATGTGGCGTACGGCGAGGGAAAAATGATTTTAGGATTCCAAGAACACCGTTATGGTGTGTCGCTTACATGTGACGTTTGAAGTTCCCCTCATAATACCGGAAATTCTTTTTTAACCGTTACGGCACATTGGTTAGATCAAGATAATTGACAAATGATGAAAAGAACAATCGCGTTTGAATTATTCGGTGAGCCGCATACCGATGCTAATTTATTTACACTTTTAAAAAGGGTAATTTGTCTTTATAAATTAGAAAATAAAGTTTTTTCTATATCATTTTGTCGCAACCGTCTTTCGGTTGGGCCCCAGAATTGGGCTTCGACTTGAAAAATGTGGATTGGAGTCGCTACCGATCATTTATTTAAAAATAAATGGGTTGATCGGATACCCTATTTCTTACCTGATCTGCGTCTTACCAGAAATATGTCGGGCTCGGGAGTCGGTTACGGTCAAGGAAGGATTAGCACCCTTGAACCGCCCTTTCGGTACTACGTAATTTCCAGTTGTCTTAATTAAGAAAAATGACAAGTTAAATTAAAAGGTAAAGTTTCGATCCTAATTACTTACCCTTGATTGATTTGAAAAAAAAATCGAGAAATGTGTTAGATAAACAATGTAAAGAAAACAAATAAGATACAAGGGAAAAATAAAATAAATAAGTAAGATAAGAAAAAAATAGTAAGTAATAATTGTATATAGTAATATTTGAAAAAAGGAAAAATATAAATATATATATATATATATATATCAAAGTATTAATAAAATAAATAGCTATATATGTACACCAAATACTTAAAAATAGAAAAGATACCCTCTCATTCACCGAAAGTGGAAGCTTTAGTAAGAAATAAGACAAAAAATGGACCCTCTAGGTTAGTAGTATATAATATAATGTTTAATAATAATAATAAAAAGACACAAGGTTTTTTTTTTAAAAAATAATAATAATAATAATGAATAAAAAAACGAAAATAATA